GGCGGCGGGTGGCTGGCTCGTGCCGTGCCAGGTGCAGGGTCTGCTGGCTGGGCGCTGGCAGGCTTGCACCAGGCACAGGCACCGTAGCCAGACCGTGCCCCTTTAAGGGCTCCGGGGCCGGGAGGGGGCAGAAGAATTTCCTTGGTGGTGCCCAGAATGGCCACCAGGGGGAACCTGGGAAGGACTAGCCTCCCACTAGTTCGAATTAAGTGGCTACACAGCCCTTAATTCGAACTACTTAAATCGAACTAGGCGTTAGTCCTCACAGAAGGAGGTTTACCTAGTTCGAATTAAGCGCTCCGCTAGTTCGATTTAAATTTGAACTAGCGGTTTGCATGTATAGACGCTATTAAAGTTAAGTTGAACTAACGGCTGGGAGTTTGAATCAACTTTGTAGTGTAGACATACCCTAAGAGATTTATTGGAACATAGGCTTTCGTGGGCAAAGAGCCACTCTGTCAGATTTTTGTAACGAGCTAGCCATCGCCAGTCTCTGTTCACACTGTCTCTGTAAAAGAAAAGGTGGGCACAAATCAGCCAGCAAGCATGGGAACATGCAAAACCCAACAGGCGTGCACGTTAACCTCCCCGGGGGCACAGTAGCAGACTTGAAACGTGTCAGGCTTGAGCAAAACAACTTCAAAACCCGACTGCAGCATGAAACTGCGGCACTGGAATTCATAGTGTGATGTAGGGGGGTGTTGTTACATTCACTCTTTGCTGTATTGTGCTGTGTGTGCGTGTACCTCAGTTCCCCCCCCCCCACACACACACACTGCAGCACTCTCTGCATTAGGGGGAGAGGCTGGGCATGACTCACTGCAGATGTGTGTTGGGCCCAGACCCCTGAGGGCCAGACACAGGAGGTAACAACTGCCCTGGAAGGGGGACAAAGGACAGGTGGGGCTGACTCCAGGCTGGGGGGGAGGGCCTGAGAGAAGAGTCAGTCTGGGCTGGGCTAGGAGGCAAGGAAGAGCTTAGAGCAGGAAAAGGGGGGCAAAGGATCCAGGACCCCTTCTCCCCAAGAGGAATAAGGCTGCCTGCTCTGGGTCCCTGTGCTCACATTGCTCCTGTGCTACACTGTGTCCCTCTGAACCAATAAGCCTTCTGCTCTATCTGCTGCCTGAGAGTCCCGTCTGGCTGCGGATGGGGGTGCAGGGGCGGGGACCCCCCAACGCCAGGACACACATGCAAACATGAGATCATCAGAATGGGTCTGAACAGGGACTGAGAACGAGCAGCTTATCCCAGAGTCATTTCCTCCGTTCAGTATTCTGGCCTGTTAGCAGTGGGCCACGCTGGCCCTTTCACAATTAGCTCAGCAACACTGATGCAGCAGGCCTGGCGCTGCGCTCGCCCCTGCCAGCTGAAGCTTCCACTTCATGCATCTGACCAAGTGAGCTGCAGCCCACGAAAGCTTATGCCCTGATAAGCGGGTTAGTCTTTAAGGTGCCCCAGCCCTCTGGTTTTTACTCGGCTTGGGAGGCTTCTTGGGGTTAGAAACCTGCTGTTCCCTGCACTCTGGCCAGCTCATGCCCACGTGTTCCCAGGTAGCCTGCTCTTCCCTGCTGCTGCACCATACCAGAGGGGTTGCCCAGCCTGGAGTACCTGCCTTTGTCCAGAGCCTGATGCTTCCAGGGCAGATATGCCCTGCCTGCAAGGGTGTGTCTACTTGAAATAAGCAACGCAAATTGAGCTGCCTCCATTGCGCAGCTGATTTTGAAATAGGGAGCATCTGCACAGCGCTTATTTCAAGCTAGAGCGCTCTGCCTCGACTCCCCTTCCTCCTCGTACCACGAGGGCTACAGGAGTCGGAGCCAAGTCCTGGTAGCTGGGCAGGATTTCGACGCTGGTCTGAAATCACTGCCTGCTGTGTAGGCGTTCCTTAACACCCCTTCCCGAGAGGGAGCCTCTGCCAGAGCCAGAGCCAAGCCCCAGGGCTCCGGGTCTGATGGCTCTGGGCTTTGCTTTGCTTCAGGTGGCGCTGTTGGAGCACATGCCAGCAGGCAGCACCATCCTCACCGTCAGTGCCACAGACAGGGACTCCGGCAGCAACGGGGAGCTCACCTACCGCCTGGCTGAGCCCAGTTCCCACGTCTCCATCGACCCCAGCAATGGTAGGTGGGCAGGTGCTGCTGTGCCTTGGCCCTGGGGGAAGAGGCTCCACTTGCCAGTACAGTAATGGGGAGACGTTAACTGGCTTCCTAGAGCCAGAGACACCCCTTCAGCGTCCCACGGCCAGAAGCTGTGTGGCTTCCCCCCAGGGTTCCCTCTAGTCTTTCCCACCCATGTGCGAGGTGCGGGCATGTGCAGCAGCAGCAGAAACACAAATGGAGCTGTGGGTACCTACACGCGCCCAGCTTGCAGGGGACACGGCGTTGTGGGCACCCGGCCAGCCAGTGGCCAGCGTGGGCATCTCCACAGTGCCACACGCGCCCAGCTTGCAGGGGACACGGCGTTGTGGGCACCCGGCCAGCCAGTGGCCAGCGTGGGCATCTCCACAGTGCCACACGCGCCCAGCTTGCAGGGGACACGGCGTTGTGGGCACCCGGCCAGCCAGTGGCCAGCGTGGGCATCTCCACAGTGCCACATGCGCCCAGCTTGCAGGGGACAGTGGCTGTGACCCCCATCCCCAATGGGAGTGGGTGGGTCTGGCTCTTTTTTGCATTGGGTTAATAAGTCCTCATTCCACGAGGCGTACAGCTAGTTTGGATAGGAAGCCTAATCCGAACTAGCTAGTCCATGCTGCGTGTAGCCGCGCGGCACGGGGTCCGACCTAGCTGGCATTTAAAAATGGCGCCGACCAGCTTTATGCAAATGAAGCCCGGGAAATTCAAATCCCGGGCTTCATTTGCAACTCCGTATGACTACATTACCCCCCCTAGTTCGAACTAGGGGGGTAGCGTAGACATACCCTCCCAGTGGGTGGAGGCGGCTTCCACCCAGCCACTGGGGCAGGGCAGGCTCCGTGCTCCAGCCCCTGACTGACTCTGTGCCCACACAGGAACACTGTTCACCTCCCGCCAGCTGGAGCTGAATGCAGACCAGCCCACGCTGGACCTGGTGGTGGAGGTGCGTGACCACGGTTCTCCCAGCCTCTCGGCCTGGGCCACGGTGCAAATCCAGGTGCTGGACATGAATGACCACAGCCCTGCCTTCCAGCAGGCACACTACAATGCCTGTGTACCCGAGGACCTGCGCCCAGGCACCACTGTGCTGACTCTAGAGGCAGGTGATGCTGACCTGTCCCGGGAGAACGCCGGCTTTGACTACACCATCGTCAGTGGCAACAGTGGCAACGCCTTCCAGTTGGAGAGCCACGTGGGCTGGTCTCGGGGGCACTTGCACACACAGGGAGCCCTGGTGCTGGTGGAGGCCCTGGACTTTGAATCCATCTCAAACTACAACTTGACAGTCGCAGCCTCAGACCGGGGGGTGCCGCAGCGCAGTGCCACCGTGCCCGTGCTTGTCACCGTGCTGGATGTCAATGACAACCCACCGGTCTTCGCCCGGGCTGAGTACCACACGGCTGTGAGCGAAAGCACCCTCCCCGGCACCGAGCTGCTGCGGGTAGTGGCCCACGACGCCGATTCGGGCCCCTATGGCCAAGTGCACTACAGCATCAGTTCCGGCGACCCCCGCCAGCTCTTCCAGTTGCACGAGGCCACAGGCGCTTTGCGCCTGGCACAGCCCCTGGACCGAGAGGTCCAGGCCCTCCACAGCCTGGTGGTACAGGCATCCGATGGCCCCGGCGGGCACTTTGCCCTGGTGCCCATCGCCATTGAAGTGAAGGACATCAACGACAACATGCCCTACTTCCCGGTCAAGACGCTGAGTGCCAGCGTGCGAGAGAACCTGCCCCCGGGCACCCTGATCACCACCCTGCGCGCCATCGACGCCGACACCGGGGCCTTTGGAGAGCTACATTACACCATGCTGGAGCAGGCAGCGGGGGAGCTGGGAGCCCCCGAGGGCAGGGATGTCTTCTTCATCAACCGCACCTCCGGGGAGCTGCGTGCCCGCCTCGCCTTTGACTACGAGCGCACCAAGGCCTTCCGGCTGCTGGTGCAGGCCACAGATGCTGGCAACGCCTCGGCCACGGTCACAGCGCAGGTGCTGGTCACCGGTGAGGATGAGTACAGTCCGGTCTTCCTGAGCCCAGACTTCAGCTTTGAGGTGCCTGAGGGTGCCCACAAGGGCCAGAGCATTGGCCGGGTGCTGGCCACTGATGAGGACGAGGGCGTGGACGGCGTGGTGCTCTACTCCTTGGCTAAGCCCTCACCGTACTTCGGGGTCAACCAGACCACGGGCATCATCTACCTGCGCATGGACAGCCAGCTGCAGCCTGCAGGGCGGGCCAAGCGGGAGCCGCGCGAGATGAGTCTGGAGGTGCAGGCCCGCAGCCCCCTGCCTTCCTCCCGCTCGGCCTCTGCTCAGGTCGCCATAGACGTCACCCACACCTCCTTCGGCCTGGCGCCAGACCTCAACCTGCTGCTGGTGGCAGCCCTGGCGGCCCCCCCGGGGGGGGGGGGGGGGGTGG